ATGTGAAACAATCAATAGTGCTTTAGTCTGACAAGCAGTCAATACCCATTGTCACAGTTCAGAAAGTCATTAATGAGTAGTTCTTCATAAAACCGATGTTTTCAACATGTTTGAAGTCTTCAGGTGTAGTGTACCTGGCAGGAAGCAATCATAGGTAAACCATTTGAATTATGTATAAATGTTTTGTAAATTCAGAGTGAAATAAAAGTCATTGGAAGAAATGTGAGATCGTGTTACATGGAGTTACAAAATCTTGCCAATAAAATATGGAGCTGTTTCAAACATATGAAAATATTTTGTTTTCTGAATCACTCAGGTTCTGTGCAGAACATCACAACCAGGAAAAACAGTCTTCTAGAAATATATTGTCTGCATACTTGACTAAATTCACCAAAAGGCATCTCATAAAAATTTTGATCTTTGCCCTGAAAAGATTAGATTAGGGCATTGTCTGGTTCTTCTGGTTGTGGCCAGGGCAAAACTCTAAAGGAAGGCTTTTGTAACTTCACCTTGTAAATATGTTAGCTACTGTTTATTTCTGCTTAAATTATGTTTACTCTCATTGCATTATATATACAATTTAGTGCACTAAATTGCAGCAAGTAATTCTTCATGTGTACATCTCAAAACTTTGACTCTGATGGTATTATTTCTGCAGAACTCTGTGATTTGGAGGTAATGCATAATTCTTTCTTTCCACCTGTCTTCTTGTGTAAAAACTCTTGTACAGACTCTATTTTGTCATTTTACATGTTACTCTTCTATTTATATCTTATGAGGAATATTAAGGTTAGAGTTGCATCAATGACTAAGTATTGATGCAACTAAGTATAACGGTCCAAAAAAAAGGTCAGTTTTCTTTACTTCGTGTTTCTCTTTTTTTTTCCCCCAAAGAATTTAGTTTATAATTATCCTTCCTAATTCAGCTGATGTTGTTTCAGCGCTATCCAATATGAAGGGCCAAAGATGTGTTTATACATTTTTTATTTTTTTTTTTTTTTACTCAATCTCTATTGCACTTCCCTAATGTGATAAACTGTTGTGATTTCATATGTCTTATTTCTAGAGTAAATTATCTGAGGAAAAGGTCTTGTCTTTTTTTTCATTTGTCCCTTCATACCTCTCCCACCTGTGGGAAAAATAGATATATCATAAAGTGACCAAAGTCACTATAAATGCTTTTCTGGATATCAGGGTCCAACTTTATTTCCAGCTAAACATGGAAGTCACCCAGTATTCAGGTTACATTTTTGGTGTTGGATTGAAGTGTCCTTGCAACCACTTGCACTTGCAGAAGAAATTTATCATAATATTGGACTCTGTTGGGTTCTCCTGTACATGTACTATAAAAAACCCTGGACCCACCCAGAGCAAGCATGTGTTTTCTTTTTCTGTCTCAGAAGCAACATAACAAGTACTTAAATGAAGTCTGCGCAAAGGGAGGGGAATTAACTTTCTTGTCTATGTTGATTTTGAAACATTAATGTGAATATGTCAGTGTGTGTAGCTTTAGAAATCAAGAGTATGGGGTTATTTAGTACAAGGAATCACATGGCACACCTATCCAGTGTATACCAGGGAACATACAGTAGAAAAAGCAGTAGATTTTATTTCCTATTATTTTATACTGAGGTCCTTAAGTAGCCTGTATAACATCTGTATGGAACCACTTTCCACTTTTTTATGTTGTTTAACTTTTGCCAGCCCTCTTTCATGGATGATTCTTATGGCTGAAGTGAGAACCTGAAATTTAAAAGGGAAGGTACTACAAAGATATAAATTATTTGGTTTGAGTTTTATAACTACTTTTTAATTATTATTTGGAAGCAACATTTGGTCCTCTTTGTATTTCCAAATATAATAGCAAAATCATTTTAATGTGGGGTTATCACGAGAAGAATGGTTTGGCAAGAGAAGGAATATTTCTAAGTGAGATCCCAACAAGAATATTTCTGGCGAAGGCTGGTTTTGGAACATGCTATCTAAACCCTTGAATTTCTGGGAGGCTTGGAGTTTCCCTCTGGTGACTCACACATGCTTAATAGAATAAAATAAGAAATTCATTGAAATTAACTTTGCTGCTGTTTTTAACTATGCGTTATACAACTCAACATGGAGCATACGAAAGTGTCCATAACAATAATTATTCCTACCTCTAGATGTAGTTTTAACACCATAATAGCTCTTTCAGGTATAAAACTTCCAGCTGGGTTAATACATCATTCTAAACAGAGGGATCTTACCATTCACTGTATGACCACATTCACTCCAGTTAGAATATCTTCACAAATCTGGTGCATAATCAGAGCTAAGCATGTAGTTCAAGTGGGCAAAAATGCTTCAGAGTCCTGCAGAATGGAAAATGTGGCAGGCACATTAAGTGGCTTAAAAGATATTTTCACTCCTGCCCTCTACTCTGCTCTTGTGAGACCTCACTTGGAGTATTGTGTGCAGTTCTGGTCTCCTCAACATAAAAAGGACATGGAACTGTTGGAACAAGTCCAGAGAAGGGCCACGAGGATGATCAGGGGACTGGAGCACCTCCCGTATGAAGATAGGCTGAGGAAGTTGGGGCTGTTCAGCCTGGAGAAGAGAGAGCTGCATGGAGACCTCATAACAGCCTTCCAGTATTTGAAGGGGGCCTATAAGGATGCTAGGGAGGGACTCTTCATTAGGGACCGTGGTGATAGGACAAGAGGTAACAGGTTAAAACTTAAACAGGGGAAGTTTATACTGGATATAAGGAAAAAATTCTTTACTGTGAGGGTGGTGAGGCACCGGAATGGGTTGCCCAGTGAGGCTGTGAATGCTCCATCCCTGGCAGTGTTCAAGGCCAGGTTGGACAGAGCCTTGGGTGACATGGTTTAGTGTGAGGTGTCCCTACCCATGGCAGGGGTGTTGGAACTAGGTGATCTTAAGGTTCTTTCCAACCCTAGCTATTCTATGCTTTATACTGAGGAAGCTTCACTCTAAGTTGGGAAAAAGCAAACACAAATATGAATCACTATGGACAAAATGACCATAAGCAACAAGTGAGTCCCCAAACTAAACACAATTCACTGTTTCAAAATACCATTAAGATGCAGAATTAGAAACATACATTTGTTGTTCTTTTTATAGCGCATCCAAGTAAACTTGGAATTTCAGCTTGTCCCTGCCAAGGACTACTCAATTTCAAACAAAAAGTCCTCCACTATAATGTTAAAAAAGCACCAACCATCAATTGAATGCTAATCTTTATATTATGATACATCACTCCAAGAATGCTACCATTAAAAAATGTGAATTCTATTTTTCATAAGTGATGGATTACTGTACCAAGCTATGTATTTTCCAATAAAGTGTCATTTTATTTGTCCTGTGTGATTACTAGTTTGTGGAAGTATGTGTGGGGTCATTTTAGTGCTGTGGGAAAATGAAGCGCTCTTCTGTTAAAATCAGTAGTGAAATCAGAAGCAAACTATGCTCTGATCATCATAGGCATGTGTTTAAATATTGCTTTCCTTAATTGGCTATGTTCTATTTACTTGAACAATTTGGCAAGTTTTTCTCCCTTGACAACAGCAAAACGTAAACTATTTCATAAGTTTGGCTGTTAAAATCAGATTTCTAATGTAAACCGCAATGTTCCAGGGTTGTTACTGTTGTTTAACCAGTTGTTCTAGCTTGCCATTGTTTTATAATTGTGCACGTTTAAACATTCTGGTTCTGTTTATAACTTCTTGCTACAAAATGACCCAATAACATTGATCATAATTTTATTTTAGCTATCTCTCTACCCTTGGATCCTCTATATGAAGATCACTGCATATAGGCAAGACTCGGTCTGGATGTGGAGATTAGGAAACATCTCTGTAACTGCAGCTAAATTATCCAGGGTACTGTTTAGAAATTCTGTGGAAGAGACAATGGACTGACCGACTCCTGCAAATTTAACTTGTGGACAATGCTGTGTTTTGGTGGATTGATTGATTAATTTATTGATTTTCAAGAGAAGATGGAAAGCTATTATTTTCCACAGGAAGCAAAAGCCCCTCTGTCAGCTGGAGGCCTTTGCCAGGGAAAGCAGGACAGCTCTGGTTCCCTATTTGCCTACTCAGCATTTGAGGGAATGGGCAAGCGTGAAAGCTCAAGCGCACACAGGACAAGGGTTATTCAAGGGTGGTGAGGCTCAAGTGAATTGTTATCAGACTTTAAAAATCTGACTGTCCAAGGAAATCTTTGAAGAAGGTCTTCCCATGACATTGCTTCTGCTTCTGGAGCATGTTGATTTCTCTTTCACACTAATACTGCCTATTTTGGTAGCTATGACAGTGCCCTGCAAGCACCTCAGCAGAGAAAAAGTTAAATTTATACCTTTGAAACTTTCTCCAGGGGATTTTGTGCAGCTGGGTTCTATGTCTTCTTGACACAGAGCAGGAATAAATTGAGGTCCAAATGTTTCTCAGTTTCATAAATGCCTAAGTATTTAAAATATAATCTTTAAGACGGGAATACATTTTTCCCCATAAATTAATGCACCTCGCACACATTTCATGGCACATAGCCATATTTTCTATAGCTGCATTAAATATATATATAATGCTTAATCTGTCTTGGCAAGAGAATTCAGTCCTCCACTAGTGGTGAACCATCCACCCTTTTTCATTACAAGTAGTATATACCTAATAGGGCATAGCATGCTGAGTCCAGAGTTTTAGTTGAAAAATCATCCATGTAAAACTTGTGGGATTAGTGATCATTTCATGAGTAAACTGGTCGCCATCCAAATACTTACAGGCAACAAATAATATAACTCTGTGACTAATCAGCAGAATGAAGTCATGTTTATTCACAAAAGTATTAATCAGATGTTTTGCACTATCCAAACTTCTACACTGCTGACCTACTGCATGATTTTACTAGGGTGGCTATGGCCACTACTTTTTAAGGATATTTGAGCAAACTGCTATTAGTTTTAAAATACAATTTCACTGAATGCTTCTTTTTGATTCCTTTAGTTTTCAGACTGAACTACAGTGCCTCTGACACAAATGACAGAAACCGAGTTAAAAGCAGATTAAAGAAGTTCATCTCCCGAAGGCCCTCCTTGAAAACATTGCAAGAAAAGGGACTTATTAAAGGTGTGTTGGTTTTATGTACCTTTTCATAGTAAAAAGAAAAAAAAATCACAAAATAATTTTTCATTCTCTGTTAAATGAGTAGGTGCATTGGACAAATGCATCTCAGATATTGTTTTCTTAGTGTATCACATGCAGCTTGCACTACTGAACTGTAAATAGTGTGTGTTTACATCTGTCTTTGTGCTATCAGACCGCTGCTTCAATTTTTTTGTTTTGATGCTCAACGTGGTAAAATCCCCTCCATTTAACACAGGCACTCATCATGCACATTGCAAATCACATTCTGCACAACTTAATTTCTTGAGAAAAGAATGTTGATATAGTTTTATATTTTTAAAACCTGAAATAGGAACTTCAGATGCTGTGCTGACTGATTTGTTTTCTAAGGTAGACTGAAATACTTTCTGCTGTCTTCTCTCATTATTTTCCTAACTCTCCTACAAAATACATTTTGATCAATTTAAAATACATGCCAGTGAATAATAAATGCCCTGAATCTGTTATTCTTTTCCTACTACAATTTCTTGCTAAGTCAGTCAGCCATCAATTTCACACACCCTTAAAAAATTGCTTCTTTGATGAAATTTGTGTGTTAGTTTATCCAAGAAGTGTTTTGCTAAGAAGCTGGTAGTTGACTTGAAGGCAGTAGCATTCTGACCACTAATAATGAAGCAAAGCCATGTTTTCAAACATTGTCCAGAATAATGCCTTAAAAATTTACACACTCCCAAATTATTATGTGTGAAACCCACAACTGCACATGCAAATTGACTAGAAAGAAGCATTTTGCCAGCAGCCCCTGTCAGTCTCTGGAGTGTGAGTTTTCCAGTGGTGTGTCAAAAACGGCAAGGGGTGTTGCTAGTGTATGTTAAACTTGTCTGTGCTGAGCCAAGAGATTGACCCCAGCCAGGAAAATCTAAAGCAGTCACAGGAGTTAAACACCAGCTGGGCCCATGTCTGAAGAGAAGGAGAAGATTTTAGGAATTAAGTTCTTATGTTTTAGATATCTGCAGAAATGTTCAGTGCAATGGTTCTTAGTGTAAGTGCATCTTCATTATATTAAATCATTTTGTGCCTTGATTGTGAGCTTCTGCTTCTAACTGCCACAGAAACTTAAAAAAAAAGAAAGTTATTATACATAAATAATGTGTGTGAGGTGTGCACACTCACACAACAAGCTTTCAGGATCTGTTTTTACACATTCATAGTATCTCATTTCAACAGGTTTGAGGGCTTTGCCTCTTTGAAGTACTCTTGGGTTGAGGGTAGGATTTGAATGCATCATGTTAGTTTGTTTCAGTTATTACAGTAATAGAAGAGTAGTCTATAGTCTTTTAATTTCTGGATTTAAGGATTGTACTTTTAGTTTAACAAAGTGTGGCTGATGAATCTCCTGCAGTGCTACATAGGGATCACATGTGATCCTTTTTAACAAACACATATTAATTAGCATAACTCAATTCCAGCCTCTAATATATCTGTCTAGGAAAGACACATGAATTTGGTTTTGGCTGCAGTGGCATTAAGTTCTTGATTAATAAACATAACTTGGTTCTACCTGGGATACTCTTCCATAGATAATGAAGGTATACGATTTGTGACACAGTAATTCAGAATCAGTACCTGGCACGGTTTTATTACCAAACTAATGTCACCATGAAGAAAACATGTTAGTTATCTACCATGAAGTTTCATTAGGTTTAGGTTCTGGCCATGCAAATGAGGCAGGATTCTTTAGCAAGGCTCAGTTCCAACCTCCAGTAAGTCTATGTGATAAGGTTCCTTCATTGTCTTCACCAGAGTTTGTCCCTTAATCCATTAAAATGTTATGAAAATGCAGTTACAGTACTTATACAGAGACCAATTTTAAATGTTAATTTTTAGGCTCCCCTTAGAATATTTTTAAATCACAAGATGCAACCATCTACCTTAAAGATGAAAAGCTTGTCAAATTCTGTATTATAAGATGCATATATTTTTTTTTTTCCTAAAGATGATGTAAATAGTTGCAGAAACCTCTTGAAACTATTTATTTGCTCCTTCCTTAAGGGAAAAAATGTTAACCATTTTTACAAGAAAAAATTCCTCCAACTCTGAGAACATGCATCCTAACTTTATTCCCATTGGGAAATACTTCTGTCAGAATTGTAAATCCCTTAAAATATGGGCTTGTAATAAAAGTGCGTCTAAAGCCTTGCAGGATATCTTCGTACCAAATTTTTGACAAAGAGCTGTTCTGTGTGCCAGTGAAGAATTGATATAAATACCGGTGAAGCGTGAGGTGTTAATTACTCCAATGTAGTGGTACTGTAGGTGCTGTGGAAACCTTCATTTTTCATCAAGTGTTATTCATATTTGCCAGGGGCACTATAAAACTCTCAAATCTATATTGATTTTTTGCATTGTATGTCACATTGGAATCAAAACTCCAATAAATTTAACACATAAATTATAGTCATGGGTAAATACATTTTAAGGTGGGAAGTTCCCTTAAACACAGTTCTGTGGTCTGTTAGTCACTGATGTGTACACACTTGGCCAGAAGACTCAACACATTTCTCCACATTAACCAAATTTGGGAATACAGGCTTCAAAATTAAATAGCAGTTTGATCTCCTGGGGTACTTTGTTCTGCCAACACTGTTATCATAAAATCTAGAAATTACATGATTACTATTTAACTCTTTACAAAACTTTTTTTTATGTAGAATGTAGTAAATAAAGTAGGTAGTTGGTAAATGAGAAGAATAAGAAGTAAGAGGATAGCAATCAAACAAGAGAATGTAGCAGACCAGCGTGTAAATGTTAGTTACATGCTGATCCAAAAATGAAGACATGCTGATGCTTTACATGACAAAAAGTTATTTTTGTCATTGCTGTCCCATTTGCTGTCCCATCCTCTGCATAAAAGAAGCCAGAATGGGAAGAGAACATTGACTCCATTCATTGTGATGAGCTGGTAACTGGGTATTTTCATGCTCCTGTGAGAGCTCTAATGAAGATCATCAGTCCTTTTCATTCCATCACACTCATGCTTAAACAAAATATTTTTGGTCTAGAAACATTTTGAACCATTTCTGAGATGATGTATAATACACTATTTTTGTGTTACGTGTCTGTATGAAGACTTAAATTCATATATATACACATGCGTGCAAACCCATAAATATTAAATGAGAAGCAGTTCCATGTCTGCCATTTAATAGTAGTATTTTGAGAATAACTGCGTTCAAATTTATATGCTAGGGCAGGGTTCCTCAGTTCCTTGGGATTGAAACATCCTCAGAATTTACAGAATCTGCACTAATAAGCTAGAAAAATAATATATAAATCTTCTCTTTTAAAACTACTTTATAGTCTATAATTGAACTTTGATCTTTGTGTTTAAGCTTTGTCATGATATAATATTACCTAAAATGAATTGCCAACCTTCAACTTGATATTGGCCTGCTAACTTCCTGATTTCTGAGCCTTTCTAGTCCACAATCAAAAAGAAAAATTACTTTTGTGAAAATGTGATTATAAAGCTATGGTGGTTGTGTTGGTAGTAGACTAGCACAAAATACACTTTCAGTAAATGGTAAAAAAGCATGAGTAACAACAAAAATGACACTGTGGGAAAAAAGGAAAATGCAACTATGCAGCTGGCAAGAAATTAATCTAGATTTTTTGGCGGTGGATTTTTTTAATTTTTTTTTTCCCAAAAGCTAAACACTGAAGGAACTTCACTGGGTTTATTTTGTAAGTTAATTTAAGGAAAAACCCAAAAGAGCATAAAAGTTGGAATGGTTACAACTGTTCCAAGGTTAAAATACAATCCACTCAATTGCTAATGCAAGGAACTAGCTGTGATTTGGCTTGATAGCCTATAGAATGAGGCTCAGCATATGTTGGTGCCTGTGCAGACAGCAGCACAGAGATCACCAACCATGTTGATTCCAGACAAGGGAAAATGTCTTTACTGTCTCATAAGTTTCAGAGGACCTTGGAGTAGTTCAGTGTAATGAGTGTAATGCCCATAAGGAGTCATAGAATCACAGAATGGTTAGAGTTGGAAAGGACCTTAAGATCATACAGCTCCAACCCCCCTTTGCTGGGCAGGGACACCTCCCAGTACACTAGCTTGCTCAAGGCCCTGTCGAACCTGGCCTTGAACACTGCCAGGGAGGAAGCATTTACCACTTCTTTTTGGCAGCCTGTTCCGGTGCCTCACCACCCTCACATTAAAGAACTTCTTCCTTATATCTAACATGAACTTCCTTTGTTGAAGTTTAAACCCATTACGTTTTGTCCTATCACTATAATCCCTAATGAAAGAGTCCCTCTCCAGCATCCCTGTAGGGCCCCTTCAGATACCGGGGTCTCCACCCAGGCTTCTCCAGGCTGAACAGCCCCAACTGTGTCAGCCTGCCTTCATGTGGGAGGTGCTCCAGTCCCTTTATCATCCTTGTGGCCCTCCTCTGGACTTGTTCCAAAAGGTGCATGTCCTTCTTATGTTGAGAATACCAGAAATGCACACAATACTCTCATAAGAGCAGAGTCTACTCTGCCTCGACCTGCTGGTCACACTGTTTTTGATGCAGCCCAGTATGCGGTTGTTTTTCTGTGCTGCAAGCACACACTGCCAGCTTATGTTCAGTTTCTCATTTACCAACATCCACAAGTCTTTCTCCACACGGCTGCTCTGAATCTCTTCTCTGCCTAACTTGTATTTGTGTCTGGGATTGCCCCAACCCAGGTGTAGACCTTGCATTTTGCTTTGTTGAACTTTGTGAGGTTTGCACAGGCCCATCTCTTCAGCCTGTCTAGGTCCCTCTGGATGGCATCCCTTTCCTCCAGTACATTGAAGTCCAAAAGAGTAGATCAAGACCTATCTTCAGTGTGTTCTGTAATTTTTGTGGGTTATGAAGGCATTTAGCAAGTGAGTTAGTGCTCGTAATAACTTATGAAAATTAGGAAATATTTCCTTTGTCTTGCATAGACAGTGGATTACAAAGGTGTTTCTTTCTTTGGCCACTACCTGGATATTTGGAAGTACATTTCCCAAACATTACGGATGACCAAACACAGGACAAATGGATTTTTTCCTTTGACATGATGGTCAGAAATAACTCAGATAATCATAAAATATCTCATTTCTGGAGACCTGTTTTGAGGAGTTGCCGTGGTTTAAAACCAGCAGACTCACTCTCTTTGAATTCAAATGAGCTATTGTCCACAGCAAAACACCATAATTTCATAAAAGAGACTGGTGTCTGTAAGTATTCTCTATTTTCCTTTTTTCTGAGAATGTGAAACGAATCTGGCAGCTCACATGACACTTAATAGTAACTGTTCACAAATGTAATTTTTTTTTTTAATTAATGACTACCACAGATCAACTATGTATAGTAAATCTCCAAGTTAAAAGGACTGGCAAGACTCCCAGATAGCATAAATCAGAGGATCTCCATTGACAACCTCGCCATCTTCAGTCATCTGAGGACCTGGCCCATTTATTGTAAAAGCATTGTGGCAATATTTGGAGCCCCAGTCTGGAACCAGCATTGTTTTAATGTCTGACTTAGTATGTCTGAATACAGGTTGGGCAGCTAGAAGTTGCCTTTCAGAATATGACTCTTTCCAACTACAACTCTTGACCTTCCAGAAAATTCACTGCTGTGGTGACTACTGTTCTGTACCTCCTTCTGTTCATTCCTTTTATTTTGTGTTTTTTTGTTCTCTTTCCCCTTTTCCCTCTTAACATTCAAACAGATACAAAGAAATCAAAAAACTTACACACTGCTACAAAGCTCTGGTAGTCCAGCAGTTCAAATCCAGATCTAGCAGAGTTAATTTTGTTCCTGGAAGACACTGAATTACATAGATATCATTCACATTTCTAAAAACTTGGACATTACGCCATTATAACTTCTCTCACATCAGAATCTGAGCTTCTACACAATAAATGGGAATATTAGACATGTCCTTCTCATTTTTTTTTTAAGAAAAAACACTCAAGTATGAGCTCCTTCCAAGTGTGGCCACATCTTGTCCATGTGCACCAGAAAAAATTTAACAATGACATTCTCGGTAAGGATGTGGCTTTTGTGATTTTATTTTAATTGTTTCTTTTCCAGAAGTATTCTCTCCCACAGACAAGATTTCTGCAGCTCAGAATTAGTGGCTTTGCTGCAGCCTGTGAGAGCTACTCAAAAAAGTAGCTCTGTCAGGCTCAGGGAAAACTTGGAGCTCACCAGAATGAGCAATACATTGCAGTTGTAATCATCATCTTATATTATACAACTTGCAAATGTCCATTCCCTCCTCTTCTGGTGTCTCATATCCACGTGCAAAGCTGCAACACACCCCTCATTCTTAAACAGAAAGTTTAATACACAGATATCAGGGATGTGTAATGTAAACCATACCACCTAACATATTATGAATATATTGCTCTTCTTAAAAATGCTTGTTGGTTTTTCATACTACACTATTGACTAGCTGTCTGTATTTGATGTATGGTTTACCAGCCTGATGTAGACTTATGGTTAGAGCTTAACTTGTTAGTTCTGCTTTTGCAGCCAATTCAGAATAACTACAGATGCCCCAAGATATTAAAATTGACTGCTCAAATGGACTCAGTGTGGGAGTTTCATTGGTTTTAAATTGATAGCAGCTGAAAGAGTGAATGATTAAAGCTGTATATGGGCATAGTATGCAGCTCTTTTGTACATGCTCTTATGAACAGAATCCACTGTATGAGAATTGCCTTTGTTCTAATAAAAGATATTTCTGAACAATTGTTAGTTCAAATTTTTAAATGATGAAACAAGAGCATTTCAGAAGCCTATAGAGGAAATAATTCCTGAGAAATTGGAATAACTCTGAGAAGATAAAGTGGATTTCTATTCAGAAGGGAGCATTTAAAGTTAAGTAGCATTCCATAAGGTGGTAATTGTGTCTATTTCCCAGGCATTTGAGTTAAATAAGCTGGATAAGAAACATAAACTGTCATAACAGGAGGTTAGGAGTGTTGTGTACATCCTTTTTTTTTCAAGTAATAAAAAATGAAGTTTTGAAGGGTCCTATCACAAATAAATCAAACAAAGGCTTTTTTGCTCCTTTTATCCCTTTGGAAGCAGTTCTTATTTTTAGATTAAAAAAAAACCAAACTGGATAGGTTCTCCTTAAACTAGTTTTTAAATATATATAGACACAACTATAAAAGAACAAGAAAACATTTTAATCTTAGTTACACAATAATCTAGTTTACAAAAGTTAATAATTTGCAATTCTTATAATTTCTTATTTTCAAATTAATGTATAAACAAGTTTCAGCTGAGTTTTCACCAGCTATATCTCTGATCTCTAAGACTGCAAATATGGCAGTGTAACTACTGCCATTCCCATACTTACATACAGCAACAGGTACAGCAAAAAAACAATAGTCTCATGGAATTTGAGGTTTAGGAGTATCCAGAATTCAGAATATTTAGGTGTCTCATGGATTCATGTAGTTATAAATATACATGATGGCCAACAACTGTTAATGCTGATTTGCTGCCCTCTCCCTCTCCCTCTTGCTGCCCAAGACAAAAATCCTGAGTGCCAGTCTTCTAAAAAATACGCATTTTAAAGCTTAACTGCAGGATACAGGATGTGACTATACCCATGTATTAAAAAGTATGTAAAATGAGGTTAAACATTTTGCTGAAGATGCAGAATCTACACCAGAAAAGAAGTCATGAACTAGGTGAGAATTGCAAAACAGTTGCACTATTTCCTCACACAAATACCAAGTAACCTGCATTGATACAGGAGATTGAAAAAGTAACTGCAAAATCGTCCCAAGAAGTTGGTTATAACAGGGAAGAAAACCTGCTGAAGATGCATACATTAATTTTGTCTTGGTTATTCATGTACTGCCATCTACACAATGTAGCTCTTTGCCTGTTTTGCTTCTGAAATCTTTTACAAGTGTCTTTGTCCACCAAATAAGATGCATTTTTATTCTTTTTAATGTAATTTACATTGGAAAACATTCCATATTATGCAAAGAATTTGACAGGTCTTTGCTAAAATTTAAAAAAAAACAATTAAGATGTCAAAAGAGGAAGAGCTAGTACATTTTAATCATAAATCTCTGTATATATAATTACCACTGAAGGCAGCTATAAATGTTTTCTGAAGAAAATGTAACCAGACTGTGCTTTGTCAGAAACATAACCCCAAAACATGTAACAGACTGTTCGCTAATGCTTAACGCCACACATGCACACAACCTTCTTCAGTGTAGTTCTGTGAACCCAGCTCTTCATCCCTTCTGCAGCTGAAACTCCAACTAACTTAAATAGAGGCTTTAATGTACTCTACCAGAATGCAGATCACATGCATTGGGAGATGCTGGAATAAATTCCCTGGTACATCTTTTTGAACTTCTGATAAGAAGTTCAAACCATCCCATGCACCCTACCTTCTTTTTCTGATTGTTCCCTACTCTGGTGAAACAATCCTGAGGAATGTAATCTAGGTGATTCTGCTTGAGGATGGAGGTTAGACTAGATGACCTCTGGTGGTTCCTTCCCACTTCTATTATTATGTGACTCTGTGAAAGAAAAGGCAATCAAGTTGTCCTTGAAATCTAAGCTTAATAAGAAATGGTAGTGATTCACAAAGGAAAAAGAAAACTCTTTGTAAAGAAGAAAATAAACAAATAGTTTTCTGCCTGTTAGTGAGAAAAAGGTGTGCTTCTTGGAGGAGGCAGCAGTCAAGCTGCTTATGGTGGAAGACGGTAGGGCTGACTATGAAGGAAATATCCTGTGCCATGGACGTTGTAGGCTTGTTGGGCTCACTGTGAGGAATCCAGGTGTGTGCTAGAACCCTTCAGCTATCTATACAATTATTTTCAAAACCTCTAGGTCAATTTCCAAACTGTGGTACTCTGTTGAAATGCTATATGGAGACTGTCGCTTTGGATAAATGATGATAGTACACTCCTATTGTTTCAGCATTTAATTGACTCCTATTGAGCAGTTTCTCTCATCTGTTTGATTCATTTTGATTCTAGCTGACGACATCCCCGTTACTGATTGCTCGTTTCATAATTTTTCAAACATATAGAGTGGAAATAAGGAAGCTAATTAGTAATCTGAAAAGTTTAACCTGCTTATATAAATATGTTTTAAGATCAACATTCAAAGTTGATCAAAACTTTGAAATCATTAATCTAAATGGTAACATTATCTAATTAACTGATTATTCATCAAAGAAACAATACAAATCACAAGTTAAACTTGGTGTAAGATGCAATCCTCATCAAAAGTTACCTAGACTTTCTATTTTTTTAAACGGCTACTTTAGTGATTAAAAAAAACTTCTGCAAAGATGAGATGAATTTGTACTACGTCCTAATGTTGCAAAGTGATGAGGCACTTGCACCCCTACAGTACTCTATGGGAAGAGAGAATCTCTGTATGCATAGAAAAGAAGGCTACCCGACATATGAGTTTCAAGGTTGGACCAACAGTTCTTATCATGTGGGATTTTGGATTCAACAAGATACAGAACTGTACACCTAGAATGGCCTTCACATTTTATGGTGGGTCAAAGCAAACTTCAGAGACCTTTAGACTTTAGAAAGATCAAGGCCAATGTGTAAATAGAAATTGAAATTAGAACACAGGAGGCAGTATCCAAGTGCTACCAGCAGCAGATCCTGAGACATTTGGTTCTGTGGCAGAAGCTAATGACCAGCAGTACTTGAAAAGGGCTTGTTTCCAAATTTGTCTGTCCGTCTTTGAGAGCTGAGCTTTTAATTAATGTGCAAGCTCAGAAGGGTGAAAAATCCCACTACTAATAATATGCCTTAATGTATTTTCCTCTTTTTTTCCCAAATGTAGATCAAATTTTTGGCTCCCATTTGCACTTGGTTTGTGAGCATGAGAAATCTACAGTCCCCCAATTTGTAAGACTGTGTATAAAAACTGTTGAAAGAAGAGGTAAGTACCTTAATATTTAACACTAACTTTTTTCTCTCCTAGTGATCAGAACTTTAACGTTTTAACTGTGCTCAAATTGCCATGACAGGCATGCACTTGAGTTTATAATATAGTTACGAACTGAACAATCTCACATTCTGTAAGTTCATTTTCTTTATAAAAGCTAACATAATCCATTCATGCTGACTATTCCATATAGTTTGCTTGACATGTGGTTGGTTTAGCCATTTTCTGGTTAAGAAAATGCTAAACATCAATAAAATGTCAGTAACGTTCACTCTGAAGTCTTTGCTTAGTATAATGCCAATACTTTTTCCTAAGTCCTGAATTGTATTCATCCAAAATAAATATTCTAGTGTGACCATATTTTTTTAATGCATGCAGGTATCTAATTTTTACAGTTATTTTAAAAATCTATCATATTGTAGGAACATTGGAATGAATATTCACCCTCATTAAAAGCTTTGATTAATAAGAAGGATTTACATAGTATCGAAAAGATGTACTTAACACCGTTGCTTGATTTCTTTTCTGCAGAGTGTATCTTCTCTCACTGAAGGTCATTTTCTTTGGAAGGTACATGCGGTAGATGCAGAATCTTAAAATGTATTGTATAAAAATGTGTGGCTTCATCACCATCTGTTACAAGTTTACAACTTGTTCCAGGGATCTGGGGAAACATATATCTTGCAAAAGATAGAAAATTTATTTTCAGAATAAGGCTGGGTGAACCCATTGTCACTGCCATATACTGGAGTCTCAGAACAAGGGAAACAATGAAGAATAAAAAGATGCTTAGACCGTCAACCACAAAAGGAAAAGCTATTTTTATTCCATCATTGTTACCTGGTTTTATAGTGAAAGGTGCAATAAAACTACCCTGGAGTTTCAAACTCTGGGAAATTCATGCTTTAATTATACAGCAAAGAGAACACTTGGATATTATTATTCCCAGAACGATTGGCAGGAAGTCAAAGACTAACAAACTGGAGTTCTTTCAGTAGGGGGAGATAGTAGCATTGGTTTTCTGGAGAAAAGCTGGAGTCTGGATAAAGAGAGACAAAGGGGAGAAACATGTGAAGTGACTATTAATAGAGGAGAAATTGCAAGGAGAAGTTCAGAACATGAAAAGGAAAAGCAGAGATTAGATTATAAAAAACACATGCCATGCAGAATATGTCTAAATGACTGTTCGGTTATGATCTTAGCACAGGTTCTCCAAAAGATGCACTAGATATTTCACAGATATATCTGACCAATCCTCTAGGAGAATTGTGGCCAGAGGTCTCTGCACTGCTGAACAGTAATAGAAAAAAATCAAAGACATCTAATTAAATGTATATTGTCTGTGTGATTATCAGAAAAATGTTCATGGAAAAAAAATGAAAATATCACTGCTTCTTCAAAGGAGTTCATCCTTTGGAGTATTGCATTATTGTTGTGGTGTTTCCTTCAAACTTGCTGTGACTTAGAGATGTCTACCCTTTTTAGTTAGTGTAATATATAAATAAAAGCTAATCATGTGGCAGAGATAAAAAATTCATTTTATCACTGTATTTATGAGTTTATGTTTGCTACATAGTTTTTTCTATTATCGTTTTCTTGGATTAAGATACTTGCGTTTACTCACATTTTATTTACTCAAAGTGTTGTTTTTACTAAGTTCTGGCATAAAGTATCTCAGGACAGCAGTAATTTATGTGAAGCTAAGTCCAATGTTTATGCAAGCTTCTGATGACATTTTATACCAGGGCTGGTATTAGGAAGCAGTATGTGGAGGTGCCAAGTCTCCCGGCATGGCTGAGACTCAACAAATCTGAAGCCCTCCTCCTAATGGCCAGATATGCCTCCAGCCAAGATACTCAACTGCACAGTCATGGGAAATACTTATGTACCAATTATGGAAAAGGCACATTTAATGAAAACTGTATGTTTACTTTCATAGTCTTGGTAAGATGGCCTAGATACTCAGTACAGCTGGCATATTGGCTGTTGTAGAAAAGCTTTTTTTCTGATTTAGAAAATATATCAGCTACATACTGTAACCAAAAATGTTACTTGTGTGCTTCATATAAGTTATAGGATTATTATAAAAAAATACCTTAGGAGAAATAACCCTAAATGTTACTTACAGAACATTCCATTTTTGCTGAATGGTTATGTTCTTATTTATCACCTCATGGTTTCAATTATTTACCTATGGATTTTCTATTTGTTTTTCTGATTTTTAAAGCATTATCACTGTGCATAAAAAAGTCTAGCAGTAATCTGAATAAACCATATTAATTAGTATATTTTCCTGTGTAGATAAGGTTGCATATAATAGTCAACTGAAGTAACATTCTCCCACAGGTTAAAAATGTAGAGGTTGTTATTAACTGTTGGCAAGATTTCCTGTTTAGTTACACTATTTTTAAATTAATATCTACATTGAAATCAGAGGAATTATTCTGAAGTTGTTTTGCTGTAACTTAAATCAGATTTTGTTCATTTATCCTCTAGGCTACGGGTTGCTTATTCACCGTTTCACGACAGGGGTGCTTTATAAGGCTTGGTCTAAAAATTCTTACACCATAATGCATATTTATCTATCCAACAAGGATTCACTTGTTCAAGAGCAAATTCCGTTTTTTCAGCCTGTTGTGGTATTTTCAGTTATAGGACTGGGAAGGAGAATTCTTATTAATCAAATTCTACATTTACTCAGCCATCTTGCAGAGCTGATAGTGGATTTTAATAAAGAGAGTCAATAAAAAATGTTTATTCTTGTAAAGTTGCAAGGCAACTGTCACTTTAAAAAAAACCCACCAAAAACCAAAGAAACAAAAAAGGTTTGTTTTTTTTTTTCTTCCTGTATTATTTATTCATTCATACGTTTTAATCAACTTCTTGTCCTACACAGCTATACAGACAGACATGTGCCACTGGAATCAATAGTATATAAGCAAAGAACATTGTACCCTTTGTATCTAATGCAATGTCCTAAATAGCAAAAAAAAAAGTCCTACGATGGGCCCCTGTGAGGATAAGAGAATAATTCTGCACCATGCAATGATCAGATTGAAGGAGTACAATGTCTGCTCAATGAGTTCTAGTATTTCTTCACTTTCTATGTTCTTAGGGAGTTGGAGGGAAAGTTTTTCATGGGAGAGTGTATCTGTTTTTTCTTTGTAGTGCTTTACTTTGCTATCAACACCTACCTTGGATGTACTTCAGGCTTTTCTGGGGCTGTATGCTAACCTGACTTTTTTCATCTCTATTCCATGTTTTTTCTTCTCCCCAGAAAGCATCTGATAGGTAGTGCCAACCCTAAGCTGAAAAGTGCAACAAGGAAAGCCTGGGACAATCCTCCCAGATACTATAACTCACATGCTGTGCAATCCTGCCAAGGGTGGGGTCCATTGCAAGATTTTTGATGTTTCTAGGCAAGATATTATTTCCAGTCATTTCACAAATTGCTTATTTATTTTGTTATACATGACCCTTTAAAAGTTTTGGCTGGTTTTTGCCTTTTTTTTTTGTTTTGTTTTGTTTTGTTTTTTTTTAAATGTGAAAGGCATGAGTAGAATGCATTAAAAAAAAACAGAAAAAAAAAAAAACCAAACCCAAACCCTAAACAGAAACAAAACCCAACCAAAAAACCCCAAAACAAATAAACAAACAAACCCAAAACAAGCAAACAAAAAAACAAACTCCAAAATATCAGTCTGCATTGCGTCTAAACAAAATGCCATCCAGTACTTCTCATAGTAATGTTTTATCGCGTGAAAATAGTCTTATGTTTTCTAGGGATGATCATTTGTCTGTGTGTCTAATGACAGTGTAAATGAACACCCTCAGCAGTCAGTATCCTAAACCTGCTGAGGGTATCCAGTATAGTTTAGGTTTTGTAAAGAAATGCAGTACTAATGCTCCAGGGAAATATAATTTAACTTTCATTTCTCTTTTGAAACATCCTTCATTTTCTCCCTCCATTCCCAAATCCAAGTTAGTGATCTCAAATCAGCCGAAATTACTTGAAAAATGACACTGCAGGCAGAAAAGCTGATGATTACAGGTACCATTTCCATTCTAAACTGGACATTGCAAACATTGTTTTCTGTTGCTTTTCTTGGAGCACAGGATGCTCTGACAGGAATGATACACAAAATTACATACTTGATCCAATGCCTAAAAGCCACCCTGGGATCCATAACCTTGCTTAAAGATTTAAGAAAGGCCTCTAGTCCACTTCTGAGAAGGTTCTTAACTTAGAAAACTTTATCTTTCAACTTTACTTCTTAGCAGCTGTTATGTTTTTTTGCTGTCGTTTGTTTGACAGGATCCAGTTATAGGTTCCGATGTCTGTTTAAAGAAACAGGGAGGTTGTTGGCTTTAAAATTCCCTTACTGCTTGTGTGTTCAACATTTTCCCAGGCTTTTCTACATAGTTTGCCAAGTAAAGGGACTGACCTTTTGTAGCAAACACTTTTTCATTTCTAAATGCTCACTTTGATTTTTGTCCCATTTTATGCTCATTCCAAACTGTTTACAGCCCACTAAAAATGACTGTGAATTATATGTTTGTGTAATGGATTCCTTTTGCGGTCGGAGTGGAATGTTTACTTTGAACAATTAGTTATCTTTGGGCAGATTATAGTGACCTGAAAAAAGAATGGCTAAAATTATTATAGTACCTTAACTATTTCCTTTTGTTATCTTCTCTGTTTGCCCAATGTATTATTTACTGGGTTTCATTACTCTGATCCCCAGTGAACAAATCATGTTAAATAAAAGCAACAACAAAAAAGCCCTGAGCTTAGGGCTCTTGGTTTGGGGCTCTGATCCGCTGGGGTAGGAGTGGGTACACCAGCAAGACTTCAGAAGTGACCGTTAGGAACTTTAAAGGCTGGCTGTGCAGTTTTAAGGAGACATGGTTTCAAAAGAAGTTTTAAACACTTGCTCTCTGAAAGTCAGATTTCTCATAGGTATCCAAAGTTTGACACCCTAAAGGACCTAAAA